CGAAGAGAATCAAATGATTTATTTTGGACACAACTATAAATCTAAACTTAAGCATAGTCATAAACAAACTTTGAGTACGATCTCTAGCTGAAGATCAAACTTTTCTTAATCTGAATCTGAAGAATAATCAAATCCTAAATGTAATGTATCAAATACCTTTGTCAGGAAATTCCGAAGAGAATCAAGTGATTTATTCTTTAGCCTTGACTTTTGTAGACTTGAAACCTGAGAGGTGAAGTGAAGTGAGATTTACTGTTGAAGCTTTGAGAGAAAAGATGAATGGAAGGTTATGGATGAGATAGAAGAATAAAAGGGTAGGAAAGTTAAGTACTTAATTGAAGGCATTTCAGCTGATTATAATAATAACCTGCATTGTGCGGTACGTTTGATACAAGACAAATGATTTCTTCTTTTCTATTGATGGCCATTTTTCGAGTTTATCAGGATGAGGCAGAGAACAACTAAGGCACGGCTGTCAAATTTTTCAATTAAGATCTTTTATGTTAAGAAGTAAACAATTGCAAAGCTTGGATAAAATTTATCAATAGGAATTTGCATGGGACAAAGCTTTAAGTCAAATTCCATAATCAAATTAAATAAATAACATAGCAAGTTATTGACAAACCGATATTCTCGAAACTGATCAAATTTCAACAGAAGACAACATTACTCTGCTAAAGTGGAATTTAAATTACCTCAGTAAGACGACAATAGCAAAGGCATCAATAGATATGAATATTAACTCTATCGCTAATTGATTGATTAAGTTAACAGGTGTGTGTCTGGTAAACAGTTGACTGTTCAGAGGAGTGACACTTATCAGCTCAGTTCTGACCATTTTTCATTTATCTGTTCTTCTCATTTTAAAACATAGTAAATAAATTTCGAATTTATCTGTTAGATAACTAAAAAATCTGTTTGATTTAATGATGATTGTTGCTTTCACGGTTAGATATAATGATGAAAAAGGCAAAAGAAATAGAAAAAGTGTTATTTTATTAATTACTGACAATGTTAGAATTCATATTGAAGTTTCAGAAAATTATCGTTATCTTATCTTTCAGTCAAAAGCCTTTTCTAGAGTAATCAAATGAAAGCTGTCTTAAATTCAACTAATTTAGCCTTTCTTATTGCATTATAAAGCAGTACACAAATGACTGCCAATTATTTTCCAATTGCGGCATGGCATCAAAGAATGGATGACACTTTAGGATGAATGAAATGCACTTCTATCAATCTTTGACCGATTTCACATTATAGCTTCAACAATCGCTCCATCTGTTAATCAAGAAAATTTAAGATTGAGCGCTCAAGGAAACATGACCTATTGATGATCTCAGAATATAACGCACCAATTTATGATGCTGCTAAAAGAATATAGTTCTATAGAAGACCTTAAAAACCAGTTAGGGTCACAAAGCATGCATCCGATCTGATCGATCGTTATTCTGAAATATGATTTTAAAATAATTTAAAAAGAAGTATGAATTCATGCCATAAAAACTAAAGAAAATCAAACCTATAGAATTTTATGATAATTAATTGCACCTTTCCTAACAACTGCAAACTCAACTGTTGCAGGACTAATAAATTTCAGAAAATTACCATCTGTTATTATGATTAGAAATAGTGCTCTGCTCATTCATTTATCATTTTTTAACTAATATGCAACAATTCCAATATTATCAGATAATAAATAACAACCAAAATTATAATTTTGATCATTATATTATATGCGAATCAATGCGTATGTTGTATTTAGGTAATGAGAAATTTGATAGGCAAAACAAAATAACTAGAATTAAATTGAAATATTAAATTATAAAATATTTTTCTCACATCACTAGCGTTTTTCAAGTAATTCATTCATTCTTTGATCGAATTTTCAAAATTAACAAAGTAAAAAAAGTTTAATTGCTGTAAATTATAACGCAGAAAGATATATTTTAGTGAAGACTCGCATCGTATAATATCGTGAAATATGATGCAAGCTATAGCAAATTAATGCTTGAAAGTAGGATAGAGATAATTATGGGCTGAATTATAAAATAGATAGCTATTAGCCTTTTTCTCACTCACCTTCCCATCAGCTTTATCTTGCTTTCACATTTCAAACAATATCAGACAATTTGTTGAGTATACAAAACATTTATAAATGTAATTATTGAGGTCCGATTAACTTGTAATGGACAAATGGAGAGACTTATCATTACATAAAATAGGGGCAAATTCAACATAAATATCATTCTCGTCGTAATGCTATCAATTCAAATATACTTTTTTTTAATGACTTCTTATAAAAAGTAATGCATTTTTTCTAAGCCTTACTCGAGTTGACTTGTCTTTATTATATCAGTCAGTTAATCAATACTATGTTCTCTATAATTCGTTCTCTGGAAATTTACACAATAAAATTATATTAGTCGTTTGCATTTAAGACAGACAAATTTTATCGTGAAAGTAACTATGGTGATATGTGACATACTGGTTGGTATAGCATTCATGTCCTAAACTAACCAGACTGTTGTTAATGAATAATGAATTGGTCGTCATTGCATGTTAGAGAAAAGTACCTTCTCCTGAAAATATGGTAGAGCCCATATTCTAATTAACTACCTTCTCTTGAAGGTAAGTAATTAAAATATCAATTACCTTTTTCTGAAAATATGGGAAAGCCAAACATCAGTTATTTCTCAAATATATATATATATATATGTATCATAATATCTATAATTAAAAAAATATTAAGTAGGGATAGTATAATGATTATCCTAAAACAATCGTTCAGTTTTAGTTTCCATAATAATATAATTTTAACCAGAAATTGCATAGATTTGTAGAGTAATGATGAGAACGCATAGAAGAAGTGCAATTGAAAATTAATGAGAATAATTGCCATGCCTTTAGTATATATTCCCGATGAATAGGGAAATGCGGAGTAATTGTGTTTTGAGAGAGGTGGAAGGATAGTTGGATGGATGGATGTGTGCGCAGTTGAATGGATCCCAACAAATCACTATTTGTCATGCTTCTCCGTTACTCTTTTTATTCTCATATTCCATTTTTGAATTGAGTAAGAAAAAAGATAATACTTTTTAGGTAATACCAAAAAATATAATGAAATAGTTTAAAGTAGCAATGATCTTCTAAAGTTAATTAAATTGGAAGTAATTTAGATCATAAATGATTTTTTTTAAAAAATGAATTTAAATTACTGAACGGTATACATATGCAATCAATGAATTCATAATTTATGAGGGTCATTATAAACTAGATAAAATAGTATCTGTTTGGACGTTGGAAAATATTATGACTTCCTCTAACTGATTCCACTCTTATTCAAATTTTTATTTAATTTGCAAAATTTATGTCCATAGCCTTTAATCTTGATTCTGTTAATGATAAACGGATATTTGGACCATTGAATTGAATACATCGGGTCAATAAAGTTAATATCTTCTCTTCAATCAGCAATTGTAGATATTAATGATATTATTTCCTAGTCAATAGATATAAGTCCATAAATAAGACAATGCTTTTGATCTAAAATATTTCAGGCTCGAATAGTTTAACTGATCCAATTATCCTAAATAACAGTTATCATATGTATTCTCACTCTGGCTACTTTTGCGCAATGATAATTTCGTAAAATCGAATTGTTGAACGCTAGCTATGGTATTATACCAAGTAATATGACATTAATGATAATATGAGAAAATCGAAGAAATGTTGAGAAGCGGAATTAGCTATTTGTCCATCCTTCTTTTTTGCACAGAAGAGTGTAAAGGGATTTAAATTTTGAAGCTCTCAAATGCATTTCTCAAGCTCTTTCCCTTTCAATTAACAATCTTCTGGTTAACCAAATACACCCTTTCTGTTATCCTTAAATTAAACAAGCGTAAATATATCCAATCGAAATTATTTCCTAGTTTAGTATTCTTCTTTTGGTTCCGTGAAATTGAATATATATTGTGCAGCCACTAATCAGGAAAGCCTTGTCAGGAATTGTTAAATGATTTCTTTTAACACAATCATCTATTTCTGTTCTCAAGTTGGAAGCATCCAATCTTCATTGAAAAATCCCTTGGAAATATATCTTTTTCTATTTCAGCAACTTTTTACAGATCTCCGTACTGTTTTATTTGTCTGTTTATTTAACTTGTTTCTTTTACACTGTGAAATAACATCATTAAAAGTTACAGCTGGCTCAAATTCTTTTATCTAATCCGTAATATGCTACAACTTTCGACAGATAACAGCAAGGCAAAGACTGCCAGGCAGAGTACTGTAAGCGAATTAACTAAAATAGACACATTTTCGTTCACTTGAAATGTACATTTATTCATTTATAGCTGTTTTCCTTTCAAAAATTTCTCAAATATTAACGAATAAAGAAAACAAATGAAATTAAAACCATTCAAGTTAATCCATATCATTTAATAAACCGGTCCTTTTGATCTAATTAGTCAAATTGTAAGATATTGAAAGAAACAATAATCTTTGGAATTTCCTTAGACTTCAAAGAAACTTTTAAGCTTCAGTTTCAGACCTCAGTGCTTGAATGGAAATTTTTGTGCAGGTGAAGAAATTAATTTAAACAATTTACAACTTAAAGCTCTTTAAACAAATAATAGATATAAATATAAATATACCAGAGAAATGTTAAAACCTCCAAGAAACAAATACTTTGCATAAAACTTCAATACAAAATTTTGAAGACGTCGATAATTCAAACGTGTCATTTTTAATAATGTAAATTAGCACTATTTTTATCACAGGCAATATTTTGTCTTATAAGATTTCAACAAAAGAGTTAAGTGTCAGAATAGAAAATGATAATCAAAAGAAAAAGGAAAAATTAAAATAAACTCATTAATTAAGAATTTTAATAAGATTCCTGCCTAGAAAGGTAATTAAGAAAGATACAATTTTATCTCGTTAAAGGACCTATTTCAAAAGAAAACTGAGAATTTTCAGTTGTGAAATCGTTCAATAATTGTTTATTTTTCCGAAGGTTTTTTCTGTTTCGATTTAAACTCGTCACTATTACTGTAACTAATTTTTCGACGTATTGGAAAAGATATTTTTTTGCCATTAATATCAGAATTTTTCTGAGATTGATTAATAATCGTTGCAATATCGGAAGAAATTGGAAGATTCTCTGTCTTCTTGCAATCACCGCTTCCAGAATCATCCGATGGAACACTAATAGAATCATTGCCTACTTTTCTTTTCCAGTCTAAATAAGTTATCATTGTTGTTGGACTTCCTTTTCCTGAAAATTTCAAATCACTGTTGTTATTAATTGATAATAAATTAAAAATTATGAACATCTACTACTGTATTCATCTTTTACAACAGAAATGATGATGAAATGTTATCATTGCTATTCCTTCCTAATTTAATTACCAATTATGATTAACAAATGGCTACTGTTTATTTTTTTTTGACATTCTATATAGATGTGATAGGTCGTACAATAATTCAATCATTTCCAGTTCTGACCTTTCCAATCCTCCGGTTTATCCATCAAAGATTTCCCCTGCATTTTCACATTAAAAAAATCATAAAGAGAACAATAGGAACAAATCAAAAACTAAGTAATTAAAAATGCAAAAATATAGAAATTCAATCTGAAAGTGAATATTCGCAAAGAAATGAATTTGAAAAAAAATTAAATTTTACTACCTATTCGTGGTGATATTTTCTCAACAAACACTCCTTCTTTCTCTTTCTTTATATTTCTTACGATCGGCGGTTGTGAAGAAACACGAGATGAATCACTATTCTTCATCATATCGATTAACTTTTGACGATTGCTAATTACATGTGCTGCATTGGCGGTATCTGACACGCAACAAATATTCATCCGTATGCAACGCAGTAACATCGAACGCATTTTGTCATTCAGAATAATGTGAATGACGAAGATAAATACGCCCTGAAAATCTGTCTTTTGGTAAAGTGCTCAATTTTAAAGCATTTATTTCTAATATAATATATCACCATAAAATTTTTGTTAACTTTGAAAATATTGTTTGAGCAAATGCAATGCTTCATTTAGCTTTTAATGAGATGTTCATTTTACTTTACTTCTCGCGATGCTGAAAAGTTTTGCCGTTTATCGGAAGAGATGAAAGATGAATTGTCAGAAGAAAAATAAGTTAGCCTCGACATTGATATGAACCAATTTTAAGGATAGTTTAAAAAGAATTTATAGCTTGTTAATGAGAAATTTGAAATCGTTAGAATCATATCGTTGGAGAATAAAATGGTGATTATGATTCGAATAACATATATTTATATCGTAAAGGAGCAGATGTTTGATTTGAGATGAGGAATTAAATTCATTTTCAGTTACTAAAAAGAATATGCTATAAATAACGAAAAAATTAACCTGCAAGCAGTTAAGAACCGTAAAAATATATGCAAAAACAGTTCCGGCTCCCTGGATGACCATTAGATAGCCAAATATCCAAGTGACACCTAATAAACATAAAAGCGTTGCGGAGCCTTTTAACCAACCTAACATCTGTTTCGTACGGCTTCGACAACGGTTGGGCACCGAAAGTACCACTCGTAGTGCAACACCAAGAAACACTATATTGGCCTACAAATTATTTCAATCACAATTTAAATTTTAAATTAAATTGATATGAATGAAGTGGACAAATTTTCTCCTTTGTCTTCCATTTTACTCGCGAGATTTTAGAATTTGGCAATCTACACTAAGATTTTTTGATAATCTGTCGACTTTTAAAGCACATCAATTATTGGATTTTAATTTTTAAGATTAAGCTTTTAATGTAAATTAAAGATTTTATTAGTTAGAAATAAGGATAAATCTATATAAGGAACGAACCAAAATGACAAATGCAATAGGCCCAGCAAAAGCCCATATTGTTGATGTTTCAACATTCAACCAACAACTGCAATAGGCAGGCAAATTCTTCAAACTTTTAGAAATATTTTTCGACTAAAAGTAAACATATTTTCACTTTCGAATGCCAAAAAATAAAAGTACTTTTTTTCCTGATAAATCTTTCTATATCATGAAGCAAACATATTTCACTTACTATTGGTCAGTACTGTAATTTGACCAGGCCACTCCGGCAGTGACAGCAACAATAACAGCTGGAAAGCCATAAGCAAAAAGGCAGTAGACGATAGTTTTGCCTTCCTCGTCTTCGAAGACCTCAGAAATTACGATCACAAAGATACTGTCTATGTGTCAAACATTCACTTAATTCAATTTAATTGTCAACCTTTCCTACCTCTATCTCTAAACGTTAGATAAAATCGTTTAAAGATTACGTATAAAACAACTAATATATGTTAAAATAAAATAAAAAAATTAATAACAAATTAATTACCTGTACAAGCATCAAATAAAGTTGATATCCTTCCAATAGCATCCAACAAAATGCCGCAAGAAAGAAATAATGAAGTGCTACAGCAATAGCACGACATACTGTTTTATTTTCAATCCTATTTATTCCAATTACAAAAATTAATTCAGCTAGTAGTAAACAAAAACACAAATTACTATGAATCATATGACGGACATTCCATAAAGATCTGAAACAAATAAAGTTTGCTGACTTAGTTTCATCGATTATTTGCTCTGAATTTAATTTAAATTTCACTTTATGTCAAAACTCAATTTTCATATATTTAACTAATTTTATTCTTGCATTCAAGAATGAAATTAACAAAAAAAATAAACATATTTTTTGGTACGACTTCGATTAATATCGTCATCACTTCCGTTATTATTCAGTATGCATTTCAATCGCATATAAAAATATTTATGTCTGTCTAGCAAAAATTTAATTAGCGATATCGCATGCAATGATTCTTCTTAAATTAAAAAAATTCTAACCTGAAGCATATGAAAATGAGTGAAGCAAAGAAGAGACATACAATTGAACATATACAACCAATAGTGGTAGTGAAATTTAAAACTTCATTAACGATTGATTTATCATCATGATCATACAATCCAGCTATGTCCATTAAAATGGCAAAACTAAAATTGTAAGGAATTAATGAGTTAAAATTTTGACTGGATCAATCTTTCCGCTGCATAATTCAGTACTAAAGATATCATATGACATTTTTAACAAGGATCTTGAGATCGAAACAAGGTGATGATCTGATAAAATGCAAAGGTAATAAATAGATTTGTTATTAAATTTGAAATAATAACCCAGTCAAATGTGTACAAGCGCATTCAGTTGAATTATTCATTGTACGTAATATTTTGCATCCATCTTTGTTCCAATTTCTGAAACTTCATTTGTAATTATCTTTGATGCTAATTCTAATTAGTTTTAGCGGAAAGAAACAAATAATACAGAAAGTATACCAAATGAAGAGTGAAATTAATTAGTAAATCAGAACTAACAATACCACCAATATTCACTTCTTGAAAGTATCCCAAAAAACGCATCGCGGATTATTCACTCCGTTAGTTCTAATATGATAAAATTTGAAAGTAATCGGATAATTTTCCGGTAGCGGAATGGAACTTGCTGGATCATTTACACTAGCGCCTATAATAAATGCCTTTTTGTAATTTCCTTGAATTTTTCAAATATGATATCATTCTTTTGGAAATTTTAGAAAATAGAGAAAGAGAAATATTGTATAATTCACTATACCGGCCAAGAAAGCCATAAAGTAAAACTTAAAGACTACGTTCAAGTACTCTCAGACGATATTAATATTGGGCAATAACAGCTAATATCTAATTAATTTTAATTTAAGAAGTCACATAATTTGATGAAAATTTATGGTAGTAGAAAATTTTCATTATGCATAAAAATGGTTTCCGAAAATAATCACTAATTGATATTAATTGTTATTTGAAACATATTAGTGATTAATTAAATCATAATCATCGAAAATTGTGATATTTGATTGAAATTACAAGAAATTGAAGCATCGTTTAGTGATGAAAAATGTATTTATTTTATTTGATTAGATTTAAATTATTATTTTTTAGAAATTCGTACACATGCAGATAAATTTTTATTGAATGTCCTTGATAGTTTAATTGAAGAATTCAATTGTGTAATTTAAAAAAATTTTTTTAAAAAAACTCAAAGAATACCAATTACAAGACTGTTTGTAATGGTAGTTTTATTAGTATTTAACAATGCTCCCACAGATCTGAACACATAATAAGCCAAAACAAGTGGAGTTTCACTCGACAGAGTAGGTCGTGAACGCTGCAAAGTTTGCAACAATTTACTTTTTGCATTTGCTTTAGAATGATATTTTAGCAAACTAAAATGGCTTTAAAATCTTCATTTAAATAATACTAACAGGTTGTGCAAAGAGAGTTGGTGTAGATTGAACAGATGTGACCAGCGTCGATTTTCCTAAAATTACAATTTATTTCAATAAAAACTGCAGAAAACTCTTCAGACTTCTCTTTTCCCCTATTTTATTGTTTAAATTCATTTAGATTCATTATAGAAGAGAAGTTAGATAAAAAGAACAAAAACAAGCAGAAGAAAGAATCAACAGGTATTCAAATTTAGCTATCTCAATTATGACGTTAGCTCCTATAAAAAATTTTATTTTCTGTCAATGTAATCTATAAATTGATCTATTATTTTTACCATTACTTATATAAATGTTACACTTTAAATTATGCAAAAAAGAAAATAAGCATACGAAGTATTTCCAATGGTGGCATTAAGAGCACTGGTGACAGCGAGAAGTTGAAAGTGACATTTCCATTGGGTTCATCAAAAATTACATCATCAGAATTTGAACTAATTGTATCACTAAAGAATGGAGCACTAAACATATGAGATCGGTGAACCAATTTTGATTTTTCATTGCTATCGGCATGACTAGATTGAACCGCTTCAGGAGTTGAGTTTTTTACCTGCACTTCAAAAGCTGTAAAAAAAATTGTTTTTAATTATTCACTTTAAAAAACGGTTTGCTTAAACATTCCTTTAAAAGCTTCAAAAATCACAGAATTATCAATTTGGAAATAAATTCAAGAAAATCGACGGAAAAAATTTTATCAAAAAGTAAGACAAACGTAATTCTAGTCAGTCTCACATAAAATTCCGGACTATCATTTTCATGCTATTTTAAATTTTGAATAAATTTTGGATAATGTTTAGAAAGAAATGCACACGAAATGCAATCTTTCTTTTCCGTGTTAGCTCACCCCAATTGCTGTATTCAATTTTCTTTTGTTTTTCGATGATAAGGTGAGCCATGAATGTAACACTCTTTTCCAGTTCTGATATCAATGAAGATATTTTACTTATTCGAATATCATCCGGTAAATTCATCCAAACTGTTGCCGCATGATCACTCAGTAATTCATTCCCCGCTTTACCAACCGTCTGTCAATAATGTTTCATTTCAATGAAATATTAATTATTGTTCTATTTAAAAATATTCCTTTTAATTTGACTGAAAACATTTATGCTACAAATGAACACCTTTTAAGCAATAATAAAAAGTTGGAGTCCTGACAATTAAAATTTCAAGTAAAACCTCTATGAATTCGATAGCTTTTTTGTTCTGTTCCACTTTGTCATCCAATTTTGCATATTGCATTTTTGCTAATGATAACAGTTTTTTGCTAATTTCGATACTGCCCACTAAGTCACCAACAAATAATCTGAGAAATTCACATTTCCGAGATGAAGCGGAAATCGGATCATCAGAAAGATAAGAAGATTATTCCGGTTTAACAGCTTTTAAGCTAACTTCATACAATCAATCTCAAAACAATAAGTAATTGAAAATTTGATTTAAAAAACAAAGTGAAAATCATGTAAAAATTCATAAATTCTTATTAAATCCATTTTTTAAAAAAGAAAAACTAACATTTGCTTAGCTGAATTTTGCAAAAATTGAGCCCATTTTTGACTGATATCTTCCGCAGATGTCTCATTATCTATTAATTGATTCAATAATCCGATCCACTTATGGGTGCAATTTGTTGTATTCGGTTTTCCTTCCCATCCATTTGACTCACAACTACATTTTTGTGTTGTTACACCTTTAAGCAAAAGACTTGAAACTAAAGAAATAATAAAATCATTTTTAAAAAAAATTATCAAAATTTATCCTCGAAACACTTTCATGTCACACAAAATCCTAGTAACAACTTGCAACGCGCAAAAAAGTCAACACTAAGCTGAGGGAATGATATATGATAGATAAAATTCTTTACCGATTGTATTTTCATGATCCGGACATGGTATTTGTGTTTCACTACAAGCTAACGTACGTGGTATAATCACACCGTTCCACTCGTATTCCTCGCAGAATGAACGGCTCCTACAAAAATTTTTTCATTATCAGTGGAATTGCATTTAGCTGAAAGTAAAAATTTCACTTATTTTTCTTGATTTTAAATGAAATTATATTTCAAAAACAAGCAAGCAATTATTGTTGTAATTTATGATATATAAATTTATAATAATCTGTGACAACACTACCATATCATACTTGAAGCCTCCTATATCATTATATCACTAACAACGCCTGTTTTAGGCTCATTATCCATAAATCAACCATACTTGCATAGAAGGCCTCAAAATTCCTGTTGTCTAAAAAGTATTGTTCAGCCTAACTTAAATTGAAAATATGGAAGAAACAGACATATTATCAATCTTAAATTAATAAAAATAAAAATACCTGCTTTGTATCATAGCAGATATGAAAATATCACAGTAATCAGAAAGATAAAAGGGAAGTAGCAGAGTGATCATTAAAACCATCCTATTCAATAATCATATAGAGTGAGTCAATAAATTTAGATTTCACTAAAATATTCGTTTAATTGAGTGAAACAAACAATAACTTCCTTCACCTTTAAAGTATTATATAATTGAGGCTTCAAAGCAAAGCTTTCCAGAAAATGCGGATTGAAAGTTTTATTTTCAAAAATTCCTGATTTTCTCAAAAATTTCAATTAAAAATACAACTGAAATATTCATCCGTGATAGTTCTTATCAAGTTCATGCAAACTGTTAAAGTAGGTGAGCAGATGTGCAATTTCGTAAAGTAAAAGTTAGATTTTGGAAAGTTTACTTAGGGTCAACATAAAATTGAACGACAATGAGAAGAAGAACGAAATAATCCACTGAAAATTGAAGGGCGAATAGTTAAAAAAAAAAAAAACTTGCTTCTATCGGTGTGCGTCGATAAAAACCAGTTTCTTTTAAAAAACTTAAAAATTCCTTAGTGGTAGAATTTCTACGTCACATAAGGTATAAGTCACTGCTTTTTACCTAATAACAAATTTGTTTATTCTCGAATACTTGAAGAATTGGATGCCGAAAAGCGCTCTCCCTTCCCTCTTTCGGAAGACATATAAGTAGCATAGGTAATACACAAGCAATTCTTTCCATAATTAATTTAAGCTAAGAAATTAAATGCTAATTTAGTAATATTTCAGTTTTTTGCGCTTAAATTTATTTAAATAACTTCGAAGTATTTAAATTCAAAAATTTGGACTTTTAAGCTTAATGACAAGTAAAATGCAGCCAAGTTTAAATGATTTTAAAAGTAATGTAAATGAAGTTTTTTTCATTGAAATAAAAATGTTATGTCTAAAATTTTGTTTTCAGAAAAATAAATAAATAGCTTCATTGATCCCAATAGCAGACAAACTATGGTAAATATAACCAAAGACAGGTAAGTGCAATGAAATAATTTAGAAAAAAACCTTTTCGAATTGCTATGCGAATTTATTGAAAAATTGTCAGATTTTTTGAAAATAAATAATATTGTAATTAATGTTTCCTTACTTTATTAATCCCATTTGCTAGTTGTTTTATCATAGCAGTATAATAAGTAGGATGTTAATAAAATTTCAGCCTTTTACAATAAGTGCTATATGGTACTAATCTCAAAATGATGAAATATGCTTTGTTATTCTCTCGATATATGGTTTCAAAAAATACTGTAAATGATTAGTACCAAATAACTTTCTCTACCACTAACTTCATCTGCTCAATGACTACTACACAATCTCCCTCTTTTATCATCAACTTCATTTATCAAATGGAGAGATGCCTTTCTCCATCAGTTTCACCTGTTCAATGACTCTGGAGATTCTCTCTTTTATCTATCAAATGACTTTTCTTTCCTTTTCTTTCCATTATTTTCGTCTAACTTCACATCACTAAAAGATGATGTACCACCTAATTGGACAGGAGTGTATTCCAATGTAATTTACTGCACTGAAGCGGTCTTACCATTTACACTCTCCTGAGTTATAATCTTAACAAACAGTTTAAAATTATTATTCTCCCGGACAAACGGTAAAGAAGAACAATCAAGTGATCATTCCTAGTTTTCATAATTTCTGATAACTGTTTCATAACATCAAAAAGGAGTAAAATTCTCCGTCAATGTCAGACTTTTACTACAATTCGACTTCTATCACACATATCTCTTCCTCAAAAAAGATTCATTCAAAACAGGTTAGAGCAAACTTTTCAATATTCGATAATCCATTAAAAATAGTGTGCTGTGTTTCAGTAGATTGTGTCTTTGGCGCAAATTGACAAACCCATTGCTGAGTGCTATTACAACTTCTCTGACTCCAAAAAGCGCTTTTATTAGTTATACGGTAGCATTTACAAAACGAGTTGTACCTGAAAGAAATAAATCTGTCAATAATGAGAAGAAGGAAGCAAATGATATTTTCGGATAAGTACTTAATGTATGATAGAAAGAAAAATTAAACAAATTTAATGCGCTTTACAGATTCTGTGAATATCTTTGGAAGGATAAATACATATGGAAATGTACCTTCCAAGTCCATTCATCCAATAACAAGAACTTTCAACATTACGAGCTTGCTTTCGTACAGTTAAAGCAATTTTGTTCCGCGCAAATCGACCAACTAAAAAAGCCAGCTGTCCACCCTAAAATATAATTGAATTTAAGGAAACAAATGATTGAGGGGATATATTGCTTTTGCTGAAACGATATTTTCGAGATTTGAGTATATAAGTGATAAAATGATAAAAGCCCTATAAATCCTGTGAAATTGCTTAGATTCAACTGAAATTAAAAAAAATCTTTAGTTTTTCGGAAAGTTTTATTGCAGAATTTTGCAAACATTAATTTTTGTATTAATGGCTATTTCGAAATTTACTGTAACTTTGCTGATCGAACTGTAACATTACTTACTTCTTTGCGACATTGTCTTTGCGCTTTGTAGAATGAAAGCGGTTTTTCTGTTGCATATGGGACATAGCACCGTCCATTCTGATAGATTGCTCGCGGAGAGCATATGGTCATTGGTTCTGGAAATGTAATGAATAGTTCTAGAAAAATATAATTTTTCTCAAGTTGTATTTACATAACACAAATATGACAAACCAAACAAACATCGCATTCGATATTGTAAACTGATAGGTGTTGTAGGCAAACAAGGACTATCCGAAAATAGTGACGGAAGATTTTTGATCCGACAATACGTGAGACCCTGACACCTGGAAGAATATTCATGTGAATTAATGATAGCTTTTAATTTTAAACAGTAATGGAATTGAAGTGAAAAGCAAACTGACATGCTAATCATTGTTTGCAGACTGGACGGATGTACACATTCTTCCCAATATGTAACAATTGTTTTCACTGGTGTAGAAGGTAAGCATATTTTGTTGTGTTTCTGAAAGAAAAAATAACCAAATATATATTATATTGTTTGTGGCAGATGATGCGAAAAGTAATGTAAAAATATTGAAAAAATATTGTACACAACAATTTCTTTTTTATTTTATTTCCTTAGTTGTCTTTCAACAGCACGTGCCAATATCTCGAGAATGCGTAATTTCTCCTGATACATAACATGCTTTTTCCCTTTTACACGGAAGGTATTTCATCACTAATATTATAATGATAACTGGGCCTTTTCTCATAAATCTTGTCGTAACATTGCTAATCCTCCTTTTTATTTGTTATTTTTAAGTTTTCTAAATTCCACTGAACTAATTAAAAGAAAAAAAGAAAATTTCTAGTAAATAATTCACTCGGACGAAAAAATATCATGATTTTCACTTCCAATGAAAATTATAATTTTTAGATGTAAAACGACAATGCAAATATGAGATACCCACTTTCTGGAAATACTGATCTCCTAACTGTTCCTGAATCAATTTTTCTTTTTTTATTAATACAACAAAAGAAATGAATTTAGGCTTTTTTGTAAGTACCCCATTATTTCCATATGCAGCAAAGTCGACATGTATTGAGCCTCCGATTGGACATGAAAATTCGAATTCATTATCGATGCAAGCAATGCTTTGTGATTCAAATGCTATACCTTAAACAATTTCACATAAAATGTGAACAGAAATATTTGAAGAGAAAATTTTAGTGTTGTTTTTAAGTGATTATGTCAATTGGGTGACCTCTGAGCATCAACTAAATAAGTATTCTGAATTTCTGAGTGGATTCATATCGATATTCAGTAATATAATTATTTCGGTTAAACTACAAAATTACAATGATGAGTAGCATAAATGAGTGAGTACCAAAATTGCTGATTGACTGATCGCAAAATCTTCCGAGGTAACCATTATAACACAAACATTGCGTGTTGTCTAATTCATTATTCATTTCTAAAATTGCCGTTTTTCTAGCTTTTTAGGCGTTAGTAATTAAATTGCTATCTATAATGACTAGTAAATATAATTTCAAATAGCATGGATAAAACAATTAAAGATAGATGAATAAGAGAGAGAGGAGGAGAGAGAGAAAGAGAATTACCTTCACTAACGGGTCGACTGCAAATAAAATAATTATAATTGGAGCAATTGATGAGACTCCAATCATGAAACATCGATTGTGAATCAGTTCCAATACAACTACCTTGAAAAAAATAAATGAATTGAATGGAAGACATAAAATTCATTGCAAAAAGTAATGGATGAGCTGAGGGATACCGTCGCTCATTTGTAGTTGATCGTTTTCCCAAAAATCAATTTCATTCATATAATTGTTTCGAGTCCACGCATGGACTTGTTGGCTACCATTTAACATTATATGGCCAGCAAACCAAACAGTAACATTATATTCTAAAATGAAATTAAGTTTTGGAATTCACTTTATTAGAAAGAGAATAAATAAATTAAATAGAAGATCAATTCGATGGAAAAGATTAATGATAAAAGAGGAGAGCAATTTCAATACATATCGTAAAAGTACCGTTTTTTTCAGACAGATTAAATCACAGGAAAAAGACATGAAGTGATCAATTTCTCATTATTGGACATCTTTTATTGGTCTAACAACATCGAAAATCATTTACATGACTTATCGTTGTTATCTCAAATGAGAATTGGAGTAGCCTTAAGGGGACAAATAAAACTTTACTATGTTTGAAAGATTGAATTGGGATAGTTCCGTTTAAAGAATGAACATTTTGTAAATGACTGAGAAGTGCAAAAGAGTGATGCATCGTTTTTGAATTGAATTAAACGTTCAAGCGGAAAGGCACTTCAATATTTCAAATCCGATTTTTGCTCAACAAGCGAAAAGGATTTACTCTCTGAACTGAATGAGCAAGAAAAATGGCAAGGGATCAGTGTATATGTATGTGTTGTAAATAAAATAATATCAATGAAGATTCATAAATATTGACTCAATAAAAGTTGAAAAGCAAACTATAACGCTATGCAGAACGGCGGTTTAGAAAGATGTGAACGGAACAGAAATGTGTAATCAATTTATTAGACTAAACATTTATCAACTTGAGAAGTTTTATATCACAAAGTTGAAATAGCCTTCAAAATTACTGATTGCTCTGACAATCAATGTTCAGACTGTGGTATAGATTATATTTGAAGATCAAAAATTTGAAAACATTATTTATTACATATATTTGATAGGGGGAATTGTTTTTAAACTTAGTTGGAAGAGACGAAACAGATTTCTCTAATTTTTTATTTCGATATTAAAAAAAGCAAGTCTGACCTGAAATATTTATTTTTAGGCTTGTTATCAAATAGTTTGATACAAATAGTTGTTGAAATTCATTTTCAATTGTCACCAAACTACCTGCAACTTCATTTTTTTTGCTCTTACTAAATCCATTTGTTGCGAATTATTTTATCTGCCATCATAAATAACAGACGGATTATCACAGAATAAATAAATAGAAATTGTTAAATCACATTTTCTGCCCAGCGGAAGATGTCTGGGAAATTAAAAGACGAAAAGTATTTAATAATTTAAAGTTCCCAATAATTCCCATATTTGTTTTTAATATAAGTCAATAACATAATTTTGTAAGATTGGAATTATTCACTGTCATTTTATCAATAAGGTTAGACAGCTCTAAATTTCGTTCAATATCATTTAGTTTGAATAATTTCTCATCAATTTTCTTAAAAGATATATCACAAATTTTCATGCTTTTGGACTTTTCTCTTGTCGGTCTAAACTTCTGTTATTTCAGCTAATTTTAGAGATAAAATTTTATAAAATTTAAACTTTATAAGATAAAAATTTTTAATTTCAAAGTCAAAATACACAAATTTAAAACTTTAAACTCGATATTAAAGTTAAAAAAGACGTAAATTTTGAATTTATAAACTTTTGTGTGCGTAAATTTAAATTTATCTCTATCAAAGTCAGTGGAACTCGACATTAAAGTTAAAAAGTCAAAATACGATGAGTAAATGCATAACAAGAAAGATAAAAAGTCCGAAAAAATAAAAAAACAAATAAAAATGCTAAAAGCACTGAATTTACCTCCGCCTTTCTTACATATTTCATGTGCTTCAAACCATGTCTTTCTATCCACAACAATTTTATAACAATCCCCACTGAAATATGTTTCTTCTTCGCGACATAACTGATAAGCTGCTGATTCTGGAAGTTAAGAAGCTATTTCAGTTTTATTTTAACAAAAGGAACGTTAACTTTGGATTTTATAATTTATAGAAAATGAGATGACAATCTATTAGTTTAACAACTGAGCATTTGAAAAGTTAGTAAATTTTCTATCTTTTCACTTTCCACTTTGAATTCATTTCATAAACATATTTGAAATGTAATGATTTTTCTCGTATGTAAATTGACTGACAGTAAACACAAAAGAATGATATTTACTGTCGTTAATTTACGCACGAGAAAAATGACAGATCGTAGCAAATAGTGGAAACAATTGATTAAAACATAAACATAAAAATGAAATATCATCTTACTGGACGTCAAAAGACAAGTTCCATTATTCAGACAAACATCAGTGATGTTTTTGCTTTGGCAATGAATTGGTAAATCACCGGCAATGAGCGTAACTAAAAATTATAAGTGAATCATTCAAATTTTTCAAAAGTGCAAAATTGTTCTTTGCATAGATATCTTTTATAATGAAAGAGAGAAAAGAGATTAATCATACAAATATCCATCAAATCCCCCTACCGATAAGAGTTGATAAGTGATTGAATGTAACTGTTATTCTCGAATTACTCAACTCCTTAAAAAATGGTGGTGGTTATGTTAAGCTATGGAAGATCAAAATGTATTTGGTACCGAACTATAGAAGTTCTATCGAAAATTAAATCTTTAAATTTTATGCGGATGCTTCTATCTAATACCGTAAGTCTGAGCTGCTGTTAAGTTAAAATTTATCTAAAAATATTAACTATTAAGTGAACAGATAGTGTACTTGAAAAATAATTAGAATTGTGAGAATGACGAAAGAATAAATAGCATTAGTTGTAGTTTAAATTTCCTAGAAATATGGCTTAGATATTTTATTTCAGTGTGAGTGATTATTAAGAGGTCATCAGGATGTCAGAATACCTTCCTGAAATAAGCTGAACTAAATGATCCAAGCAGTCAAAATGTAATGAAAGGTCAAATTGAAAAAGAAAATTTAACGGATAGAATAAACGGATTTTCTTAACATGCAATTGCATTACAATGATATGCTCTGTTGAAAATTGATTGGACAGTTTTGAAAGTAATGTAGAACAGCAAATCATGATAAATAATACCATAGGAAATTATATGCAATGCCAGCATATCGTGAAATGTTGTAGCTACAGAAATTTAATGGAATAATAAATAAAAAGCAGTAATTGAAAATTCGAGTATTTCAGTCTGATTTGTTATGTTGTACACTCATATATGGAACAACAAAGAATATTTGATCCACTTTAGTCGTTTTTTTCCAATGAATTATTGATGCTATTTTTCTGCAAGTAAAATATCTACTTTAAATTATTCATTTATATTTTATTTTCTATTTTACTTCCATATGCAAGAATCACCTTCAAATCTACAAATGATTAGTCGATCATACAAGCAATAATTGTCAAGAAGAGTAAATCATAATAGTTTTAAATGATATTGTTATTGTTGAAAGATTGTAATTATTAATTACAGTCTTTCAGTTCATTAATCATGAAAAATGGATAAGCGAATTTCGTAAACAAATTTGTCAGCTGTGATATTAGTTATTATCAGTAGTAAATATTAGATAAATTTCTGTTAATGTTGCATTTAAATGATTTCATTTGCTAAAAATATTAGTTCTATTACGTAAAGTGACAAATGGAATGAATATATGCGAATAAAAATTTATTGACAAAATTATTTTCAGTTGATAAAATAAAAGATTGGGTATAACAATATTAATGCAATATTTTGTCTTTTTTCAACTGAAAATAGACAACTTATCTCAATTTTTGTAAAAGTTCTTTGAGGAGATACAGAATTTTCTCTGAGACGTTTTGCAAGAGAGGTAATAGATACAAGAAATTAGAAAAAGGATTTTGCGCTAATAAAACTACAACGCAGCATATAATTTTGATCTTAGTTTTCGAAATTTTAATAATTATAAATAAGCTGGCATAGTTCTTTTCTGAGTTTTGTGATTCGTACTCTCGCACGTGTGTTTGAATAATTGATTTTTGAACGCACATTATTCCAACTGTATTAGTGTTCTCGAAAAAAATTTCCAAAATTTTCCTCATTAATTGATGCAAAATACTCACAGCGTTTAAAAATCCACTGAAACCAGTTTTAATTCGAATCGTCAATACTTTAACATGAGCATGACTAACCGAGTAATTA